CAGAGGTCCACGGGACCAGGGGACAGAGGACCACGGGACCAGAGGACCACGGGACCAGAGGACCACGGGACCAGAGGACCACGGGACCAGAGGACCAAGCAGGTGGGCCGGATGGCTTATTTTTTTTGATCCTTAATTTTTGTTTGATCCCTATTTTTTCTTTTTGATGCTTATTCTTTTTTGATGCCTATGCCGTTTAGGTTTAGAGTTTAGGGTTTAGGGTTTAGGGTTTAGGGCTTGAAGTTCAGGGTCGAGGAAGTTTAGGGTTCGGGGGTTGCGGCTAGGGGGTTCAAGGCCGGGGGGTCTTTCATCGATCATCGTTTTCGGGCCTAGGGTGTAGGGTGTAGGAGTTTAGGGCTTAGGGTGTAAAGAGCTTAGAGTGCAAGGGCGTAGGAGTCTACTGAATCTACACGCCAGGCTATGAGCGCGCTGGTCCACGCACACGGCCTTGACGCTGGAGCCCGACTAGCCGTGGTCGAGCTAGTGACGCCTTCCTTCACCAGGCTTGGGTTGTTGTGATGGTCTTGCATGTGCGATCAATCCAAAACCTTGAGCCACAAATCCGAAACCCCAAACTCAAACACCATTCGGGTTTAGAGTTTAGGGTTTATGGTTTAGGGTTTAGGGTTTAGGGTTTAGGGTTTAGGGTTTAGGGTTTAGGGTTTAGGGTTTAGGGTTTAGGGTTTAGGGTTTAGGGTTTAGGGTTTAGGGTTTAGGGTTTAGGATACAGGGTTAGTACCTTCTAGGCTAAGCCCTTCTTCGCCCGAAGCCTTAACCGAATTCAGCCTTTGCAAGCCCTAAACCCTAAACCCTAAACCCCAAACCCTAAACCCCAAACAAACCCTAAACCGGGATTCGTGGGGCAACCGGAGATCTCCAGCGGCGGCGCTGCCTAGCCCGGACCTCATGACAAGGTGGGCTTTTGTGGCTGCGGGCTTGCAGGGTTTAGGGTTTAGGGTTTAGGGTTTAGGGTTTAGGGTTTAGGGTTTAGGGTTTAGTACAGTTTACGGTTTAGGGTTCAGGGTTTAGGGTTTAGGGTTTGGGGCCTATATGGGGTTTATGTAGGGTTGAGGTGCCGTTGAAGGGGAACGATGAATTATGGCTTTATAATAAGGACTTTATAGAGGATGAAGGGTAATGGAGATGCAAAATGATGTTCAACCTGCCCCTAGGTGTTTAGGGTTTAGGGTGTAGGGTTTAGGGCTTCTGGTTTAGGGTTTAGGGGGTTTAGGGAGTTTAGGGAGTTTAGGGAGTTTAGGGAGTTTAGGGAGCTTAGGGAGCTCAGGGAGTTTAGTTTTTTAGGGAGTCTTGGGGAGTTTAGGGAGTTTAGGGTTTAGGGAGTTTAGGGGGTTTGGGGGGTTTAGGGGGTTTAGGGGGTTTAGGGTTTAGGGTTTAGGGTTTTGGGTTTTGGGTTTTGGGTTTTGGGTTTTGGGTTTTGGGTTTTGGGTTTAGGGTTGAGGGTTTATTTCAGGTAGTCCCAGGTGCAGGCACGAGGGAAGGACCTCGCGGACCTCGCGCACGACATCCTGATTGGGGGGTTTTTAGGGTTTAGGGTTTAGGGTTTAGGGTTTAGGGCTACTGGAAAGAACCCCCTCGTGAGGCGTAAACACTTTCACCTCCATGGGGTTCCAAGACAGTTTAGGGATTTAGGGTTTGGGGTTTGGGGTTTAGGGTTTGGGGTTTAGGGTTTAGGGTTTAGGGTTTAGGGTTTAGGGTTTGGGGTTTGGGGTTTGGGGTTTGGGGTTTAGGGTTTAGGGTTTAGGGTTTAGGGTTTAGGGTTTAGGGTTTGGGGTTTAGGGTTTAGGGTTTAGGGTTTAGGGTTTAGGGTTTAGGGTTTTGGGTTTTGGGTTTAGGGTTTAGGGTTTAGGGTTTATAGCAATTGTAAAGGGTTTGTGTCAGGAGGTCCGGGGGGTTTTGCCGGGTTTTGGTTTTTTTTTGCTTTTGCTAGATTTTTGGGGGGGGTCCAAAATTGGGCCCTGAACCCCAAACCCTAAACCCCAAACCCTAACCCTAAACCTTAAACCCTCAAGGCCAGGATTAAAAGAAATTGCACGCGTCTCATTACGAGAAGCTCGTGCAGTAATCCTTCATCCTTCACGGCGCAAAAAGCTCAGACAAAAGCATGGCTTGCAGGTCACCAGAAAAGACCCTAAACAGGGCCCAAAACCCTCCCAAAAGGCCCAAAACCGCCAAATCCACGCCCCAACACACACACACACACACTCTCCCAAACCCCCCAAACCCTTCCAAACAAAACTGTCGTGAATTCAATGAGTTTCTTCTCAGTGAGGTGTTACTCAAATCCTGATGCTCTCAAATTTTCAAATTTATGCAACATGTTCGGACAAATCCGCCCCACACAGCTCCTGGACAAGCAAAACTAGCGTAAACAATAAGGGGCCGTTTTGGGTTGAGGTGTTGCTCAGAGTTTGATGTATTCAAAACTTGAGCAGCAGCTTCGGACAACTTCGGAACACATGCCCATGCTACGTTAGAACCCGACAAGAAACATGCACTCATAGAGATCGCGATATGGACCTCAAGAGCTCTCCAAAGGACGCGGTTCAGGAAGAACGTGCGAATGGCAGATTTCAAGCCACATGCGCTCACGGAGACCGCGATCCGGATCCGCGGAGAAAACATACAGATATAAAGGCGTAAGAGCACATTTGGGATGTTCCCCCTCATACTCAGTCTTCAATAGGGATTATTTGGGGGTACTACTCCCCATTAACGACTGTCAGTAGAAGGGGGAACACATGCTCATGCAGACCGCGATCTAGAACTCAAGATCCCCGCGTATCACTCAAATCTACTCTATGACATATGGGCTATTGGTAGGCCAAGGTTGGGATGTCCCCCGTATACGAACAGTCCATAAGCCGTATTTCAGCGCTCACGGACAACACGATCCAGGTCCGCAGGGCTTTTCGAAACACGCGCTTCAGAGAAGGGCGGTGTAGGGTTTAGGGTTTAGGGTCAGGGTTTAGGGTTAGGGTTTAGGGTTTAGGGTTTAGGGTTTAGGGTTTAGGGTTTAGGGTTTAGGGTTTAGGGTCTAGGGTTTAGGGTTTAGGGTTTAGGGTTTAGGGTTTAGGGTTTAGGGTTTAGGGTTTAGGGGATTAGGGTTTAAGGGTGTAGGGTTGAAGGCTTAGGGGATTAGGGTTTAGGCTTAGGGCTTTGGGGATTAGGGTTTCGGGCGCTCACACAGGCAGCTGCAAGGCAATGACCGCATCTATCACTCAAGATCCCCACGTAACTCTCTAACAATACCTCAACAGTAGTATTGACAGAATCAATTTTGGCCTACCCCCCCCCCCCCCCCGCCCAAAAAATGAAAATAAAAGAAACAATGCTGACCCCTGCAAAACCTGTGATTGACTCTATATTGACCCCCCCGCCCCCCTCCCAGCTTCCTCGACAACTTGAATTAACTCCGAGGAGTTTGCCTAAAGCAGAGATGAAAACTCAAGCCTAGAAACGCTAGCTTTCGTGATTATCTCGGGGCGGTCACTCACGGTAGTTATGGTTCCTTCTACCCTGACCCCTGAACTCCAAACCTTCAACCCTAGATTCCAAACTCAGATTGAACCCTAAACCCTAAACCGTAAACCCTTAAACCCTAATCCCTAAACCGGGGGCCTGGGCAAAGTTCTTCCAGAAAGGTGGCGTGGCAGCGCCTGCCGGCGGGCTTCAGTGCGTTTGGGGGTTAGGGCACAGGTGTCTTTCGAGATTTAGGGTCTTGGGTTTAGGGTTTAGGGTTTAGGTGTAGAACAGGTAGAGAAGTAGCTCTTGCTGACGGGCGTGCGTCTTGGTGTAGACCAGGTAGAGAAGTAGCTCTTGCTGATGGGCGTGGGCACAAGGACCAAGTGGTGCAACACTTGCTTCTGCGAGCCTGCGCGCCGAGCCTGGTACAGCTGTACAGTGACCGGTCTCTACCAGAATACCCATTGCAGGCCGGCTGCCTGCATCTGTGACATGGGCAGCGCACTGGCCCCGGTATGGCGCAGGAAACCCTAAACCCTAAACCCTAAACCCTAAACCCTAAACTTAAACCCTAAACCCCAAACCCTAATCCTGGACACTTTGGGGCCTCTGCGAAACTGCTGAGAGGACAAAGTCCGTCTCAAATTGCCAGCACTGTACAAACGCCGGGGCCCAGTTGCCGCAGGCGTCTCTGTCAGTACACCAAAACGGGTCCTTAGGGTTTAGGGTTTAGGGTTTAGGGTTTAGGGTTTAGGGTTTAGGGTTTAGGGTTTAGGGTTTAGGGTTTAGGGTTTAGGGTTTAGGGTTTAGGGTTTAGGGTTTAGGGTTGCTGAGTTCACAAGCCCCCAAAAAGTGTACACGTTCAGTTCTATAGGGGATTATAGTACCCAAAAAAGTGTATAAAGTGTACTCATTCAGCTGCTCAGAGTCTGATTTCAGCTCCTGCGACTTGATCTCAAGCATCACGTCGTTCCTTGCATAGGCACCATTCCTGTAACTGTTGGGACTGATCACCTCGGTTGCTGAGTCCATAGGCCCCCTAAAAGTCTACACTTTCAGTTTTATGGGGGGTTATCCCTAAACCCTACACCCTAAACCCTAAACCCTAAACCCTAAACCCTGTACTCACTCAGCTACTAAGCCACGTAGGACGATCGCTCATGGACACCGCCAGAAGCCACCAGGCAGCTGCCATCAGCTTCGAAGGTGATGGTAAACCTAGTTCATAGTTAGGAGAACATTAAGAACTTTAAAGTGTTTCTTCCTTATAGGGTTTAATATTAAGAACTTTAAAGTTCTTATTCCTTATAGGGTTTAAGTGCCCTTAAAGATGTAAAATGGTACCCACCTATGACAAAGAAACACTGGCCCAGAATGTCTTCGCCGGCACTGCCAACTGCACTGCAACAGTTCCTATACTGAACTTGGAACCCTAGCAAAATCTAGAGCTTTTGTTGTTTCTTAGGAATTGGAGTACCAAAAAAAATAAAATAAAAGAAAAAAGTTCCCAAGTAACCCTAAGGTTCAGCCACGTCGAACTTTCTTCCCAAGCTCATCATGTGGGCCACTGCGCGGGCGGGCTTCTGCTGCTCGACCAGCTTCTGGGCAACCGGCGCTAACCTGGTAGCCCAGTTTAGGGTTTAGGGTTTAGGGCTTAGGGTTTAGGGTTTAGGGTTTAGGGTTTAGGGTTTAGGGTTTAGGGTTTAGGGTCTAGGGTTTAGGGTTTAGGGTTTAGGGTTTAGGGTTTAGTTTAGGGTTTAGGGTTTAGGGTTTAGGGTTTAGGGTTTAGGGTTTAGGGTTTAGGGTTTAGGGTTTAGGGTTTAGGGTTTAGGGTTTAGGTTTAGGGTTTAGGGTTTAGGGTTTAGGGTTTTTAGGGTTTAGGGGTTTACGGTTTAGGGGTTTACGGTTTAGGGGTTAGGGTTTAGGGTTTAGGGTTTAGGGTTTAGGGTTTAGGGTTTAGGGTTTAGGGTTTAGGGTTTAGGGTTTAGGGTTTAGGGTTTAGGGTTTAGGGTTTAGGGGTACTGTTGCCCTTTTTTGAGGGGGCGGAGCTGGCTACTTTATCAGGGAACCCAGAATCAACCAAAAATGGAGGGAGCAAATGGGTACCACTGGGCTCTGGCAAGGTCCAGCAGATCCTGACAGTTTTCTTTCTTGAAATACTTCCAAGGAACAGCTTCTGCCCGAGTCTCCGCGCAAACAAGGCGTCAACCTCGGCCTCTGCATAGGCGATCAAGGCCTCTGCCTCCTCGGAAGTTCTGAGCAGCTGCGCCACGAACGCCTCCAACCTCGGTTGGCCCTTTCTAAACCCCCTCTGAAAGATGTTCCTGAAGATGACAAGCCCTAGACTCTCTAAACCCTGAACCCTTAACCCTGAACCCTAAATATAACCCTCTTAAAGCCAATAAGGGAAGACATAACCTGTCCCATGGGCCGACCGGGCAACTTGTCCTGCAACGGCGTTATCATGTACTTGTCTGCCGCAACCAGCAACTCTTTCAGGGTTTGGTGGTCTGTCGTGGTCGTCTGCTGGCCTCTCGCCCGCTTCCGCGATGCCAACAGATCACTGAGGTTGGGCTCAGGCTTCTGCTCAATGACAGCCTGCATGAACCGAAAGGTGTTTTCGCTGACCTCCTTCAACGAAAACTGCCGCTGAAGCACACCCACCTCGGTGGTAAGGTAAGCTCGGAACACTTGGGAAGCCTCCATGCAAGACTTCTCTTTCAATTCACAGACCTTGCCGTCGCGCAGAGTAAAGGAAATCTTAGGTACGTCTGTTGGCAGCGCACCATACTCCTCCAAGACTGCCTTGAGAGCAGGGAGGGTGCCTTTCTCTTCTTGAGGTACACGTTCGAGTCGGTGCAGCACCACGTCAACAGCGTTGCGGCCTTCCTTGTCCTTGCGGTGCAGATCAACCTCCTCACGCGCAAGGACAGCGCGCAGGAGATCTGCAGGGCTTGTGCGTTTCCATGGCGGTCGCCACAGAATCCGGTGCAGGAAGCTCTGCCCCTGCTCATCCACGTCCCTCACGTCAAGCTCCGGAACTGCGAGTAGAAGCCTGAGGAGGCGCTGGTCCACGGTTTGAAGGCGGCCGAATAAAGGCGTGAAGCCCGACTTCCCTCGATGGTTTAGTGCCTTCTTGGCACCAGGGTGGCCCAGCAGAAGCTCTGCCACCTCCACACCTTCCGGCCAAGGCCGCGAAGAAGAACACTCTGCAAAGAGGCTTTGCCAAACGCCCGTGGTATCGATGGCAGGGTGGTTGAGAAGCTCTTTCACCACATCTCCACGCCGGTAGTGGCACGCATACTGCAGTGGAGTGCCTTTCGCTGTTTCAATTCCCACCTCAACCGGGTATGACCTTAGTTGCTGAATTCATAAGCCCCCAAAAAAGTGTACACTTTCAGTTCTAGAGGGGATTTTAGTACGGGTGTTTTTTTTGTGTCTTTTTTTTGGGGGGTCTTTCTTTGTCTTTTTGGTCGATTTTCTTGCTTTTCCCTAGGAAAAACCATATTTTCGTTACATTTTGGACGAATTTCCTGTCATTTCCCTGAGGTTTTCGTTGGTTTTTCCAGCGCAGCAAGCCCTCGCATATGTTAAGCCCTCTTCACTGCCTTCATTCATTCCTTCTTTCTTTCTCTTCTTTTTCTAGTCAAAACCTACGGAAAGTATGGATTTTCATACGAAAAAACAAAAAAAACTAACCAAATCCTATGAAAACATAGAGGGAATGGTGGTTTTCCTAGGAAAAACCAAGAAAATCGAACCAAACAAAAAAATATCCCCCCCCAAAAAAAAAATCCCAAAAGAATAGACCCTCCTTATAGTATCCCAAAAAGTGTAAAGTGCACTCACTCAGCTACTAAGTGACAGAAGCATCTTGCACGCTTCTGCGGAAAGGAGGGACAGCTCGAGGGGCCATCGGTGAACGATTGTCACGCTGGTGTACTCTGGATCGTACTCGTACTCCTCCTGGTTACTAGGGAATGGGGGAATGAGGTACCCTATAGAATCCCTTAAAGGGTAAATATAGGTCCCTAATTCCCCCATTCCCAACCAACAGTAAGCCTCAGGAATCCTAGACCCTAAACCCTAAACCCTAAACCCTGAACCCTAAATCGTGGCTCCTCAGGAATCTTGACGTTCACATCAAGGCCGAAGTGGTCGATTATGAACTTCGCCGCCTCAGCACGGCCTGGGATGGGCCCGCAAGACCCTCTGAAAAACATACCTTTTCGACTTGGATTCCTCTTAAACCCAAGAAGGGTTTAGGGTTGAGGGTTTAGGGTTCGGGGTTTTGGTTCAGGGTTTAGGGTTCAGGGTTTTGGTTGAGGGTTTAGGGTTTAGGGAAAATATAAAGTATCCCAAGGGCGTACCTAGTGGCCATGTGCGAGAGATATTGCCAGCATTGCGGCAGCTTCTGATTCCAAAGCCTGCTTGTATCGAACGGCCAAGTCCTTTTAGGGTTTAGGGTTTAGGGTTTCGGGTTTAGGGTTTAGGGTTTGGGGTTTGGGGTTTAGGGTTTAGGGTTGAGCGGCCAAGTCCTTGACAATCGCGAGACACCCCTTTCTCTGAGCAGCTTTGGTAGCTTCCGACTGCTCGAAAAATTCCGGTGCCTCACACGCCCCTCGGAAGCACTTTTGCAAGAGCCGCACACTCACTTCGCCCGCATCAAGCAGCAACTTCATCTTGTCCAAGTCGCCCCTACGTGAAGCTTGCAGCACTGCTGGCTCGGAGCTAACGCTCTCGTCGTCACTTTCACAAGAGTCCGATAGACCATCAAAGAACATTGCTGCTCTACTCCGTCGGATACTCCGTCTCGCGGGGGCTTTGATCTCATCACGCGGCTACGGCTACGGCTCGCACAGACACAAGCGCAAAAGGCTGCACAGCACCAACAGATTCGATCATGCAGCTGCCTGCCGTTTGGACCCTAAACCCTAAACCCTAAACCCTAAACCCTAAACCCTAAACCCTAAACCCTAAACCCTAAACCCTAAACCCTAAACCCTAAACCCTACCTAAACCCTAAACCCTATACCCTAGACCCGCTTTCCCTGCATGATTTAGGGGATGTCCTTCGAACTTCAACACATTCGAAAAGCAGCGTTCTCTTCTCGTTGCGCTTTCCCATACAATGCACGAAAACCGTGAGGCTCAACTGGAAACTGCCCCCCCTCTGCACCCCCCGCCCCCCCCACAAAACTAGGTTTTTGGGGCTTTAGAGTTTAGGGCTTTGGGCCTTATTATAAATGCTAATGCTTGAACCCTAAATAAACCCGAAACCCGAAACTCCATGGCCTCCGGAGGGCAAGAACATCGGCAGGTGCGGTGTGACTTCCTGAGGCATGATGGGTCTTGGCATGGGAAACGGCGCCAAGCATCGTAAGCCCCCCAAAAAGGGCCTAAACCTAGACCCTATAGACCCTAAATCCGATACCCTACACCCTAAACCCTAAACCCCTAAACCCTAAACCCCTAAACCCTAAACCCTAAACCCTAAACCCCCAAGCCCCTCAAGCCGGAGAGCTTTATCTTCCGAACCTCAAGTCCCTGAGCGCGAAACCCTTAAACCGACATTCCTCACAACATGCAGGGGAGCCAAATTCAGGGTTTAGGGTTTAGGGTTTAGGGTTTGGGGTTTGGGGTTTGGGGTTTGGGGTTTGGGGTTTGGGGTTTGGGGTTTGGGGTTTGGGGTTTGGGGTTTGGGGTCCGCCGACCCTGGCGGCGTGTTGGGGGGTGGGGGGTCGGTGCACAATTTTTTCATGGAGGACCGCGCCACCCGCACGACGTAAACGCATCGACCATAGGCGGTTCAGCTCAGGGGGTAGGGGACTCCTTTGGCAAAAGGGTTGTTGAGGGATTAGGGTTCTGGGTGTGGGGTTTAGGGTTAGGGGTTTGAGGGTTCAGAGGCTTCGGGCCTCTTGGATCGGCGGCCTGAGCCGGAGGCTCTTAAATTTGGGGTTTGGGGTTCGGGGTTTGGGGTTTGGGTTTGGGGTTTGGGATTTGGGGTTTGGGGTTTGGGGTTCGGGGTTTGGTTCCCCCCTTACAACCATGCGAAAAAATGCATCAATAAGATCCTCCTAAACCCAAGGCACCTCCGGTCAGTGCTGGAAAAGGCAGCCCACAGCCCTTGAAACTTCATCACGCACCCTGGAAGCCTATGCCCTACAGGGGCCCTTTTGGGCCTGCACAAAAGCATGTTCCTCACATACAGCTTCAACTGTCAAAAAATGCCAACAAGTTAGATCAACCCCCTAAACCCTCACACCTCAAACCCTCAGCCCTGCCCTCAACCCTAAACCCTCACCCCAAACCCTAAACCCTAAACCCCCAAATAGTAAGATTCCCTTATGAGAAGGACCCCAATAAGGTAAACCCGGAAACCCCAAACCCGAAACCCTAAACCCTAAACCCTAAACCCTAAACCCTAAACCCTAAACCCTAAACCCTAAACCCTAAACCCTACTCGCGGAAACCACCTTTCGTGGGCCGCCGGGGGGCAGGATGCTGTGCGGCGATGGCGAAGAGTCGGGCGGCCTGAGGGTTTAGGGCTTTCGGGTTTAGGGGGTTTAGGGGGTTGGGGTTTAGGGTTTAGGGTTTAGGGTTTGGGGTTTAGGGTTTAGGGTTTAGGGTTTAGGGTTTGGGGTTTGGGGTTTGGGGTTTGGGGTTCAGGGTTCAAGGTTTAGGGTTTGGAGTTTAGGGTTTGGGGTTTGGGGTTTAGGGTTTCCGGGGTTTCGGGTTAACCTCGAAACCTCCCCGACCTTGCCCAGCGCGCTGTGCTCTTCAAGACCCAAGTGGACACATGCCATCATGCCCGGCTGCAGATTCTCGCGCCGGACCAGAACCCTAAACCCTAAACGACTGCAGATCCTCCTTCTCGCGCCGGACCAGAAACCCACAGCCCTAAACCCTAAACGAGCATTGTTGCCACCGGGATAATATGGGAGGGGGGGGGGGGGAGGGGGGGTATTTTAGTTTGATTTCCGGACTATAAGCGAATACTATTGGTAGTAATCATTCCGGCGCCTATAAGCCCTAAACCCTACACCCTACACCCCAAACCGGGGTGAAAAAGGGTTGGAGGTACATGGTACTTATAGTGCGAATATAACCCTCTCAGAAGCCCGTTAAGTGCCCTAATATAGTTCTGATTAGCTATAAGTACAGCTATAATTGGGTTATTAAGAGTCATGAAGCCGACACCTAAACCCTAAACCCCTGAAGGGTTTTTGGTCACCCGAAGGTTTAGGGTTTCAGGCTAAGGGTCTAAGCTTACTTTTCAGTACCATGAACCTCCAACAACCCTAAACCCCAAACCCCAAACCCTAAACCCCTAAACAACCCTGAACCTCCAAGCAGGACCCCATTCTGGAAAGGCTGGGGTTGCTCCACGGCGGAAATGACAGCCCCGAGCCGATGCCATTGAGTGTCTTACTTTAGGGGCTTGGGGGTTCAGGGTTTGGGGTTTAGGAGTCAGGGTTTAGGGTTTCGGGCTTAGGGTTGAGGGTTTAGGGTTTAAGGTTTAGGGTTTAGGGCTTATATAGGGTTTAGGGTTTAGGGCGTCTCGCCGCGCAGCGGCAGCAGATACCATGTGGAAATGGCGCCCCTACACAATCAGGGGGTGTGGGGGAGTGGCATGCCACGCGAAGGCATCTGCTTTCAATGCAATCCAACAATTTTCATTGGTGCTGGGTTCTTTCTCCCCACCAACTGTGAGCTTTCACAGGCTACCACCCAAACCACTGCCTTTCAGGGTTTAGGGCTGTCGCCCTCAACTCCCACCATTGCTTCATCCCTACAAGGGGCCAGGGCCGGGGGTCAGGGCCATGGGGTTCCTTTTGTAAATATAAGGCACCACTTTACTGGTCCTAAAGCAAGTATCTCGCTGCCGGTAGAATTCTGGGTCCAGGCACCCTAGTATAGGTTTAGGGTTTAGGGTTTAGGGTTTAGGGTTTAGGGTTTAGGGTTTAGGGTTCAGGGTTCAGGGTTCAGGGTTCAGGGTTCAGGGTTCAGGGTTCAGGGTTCAGGGTTCAGGGTTTAGGGTTTAGGGTTTAGGGTTTAGGGTTTAGGGTTTAGGGTAAATCTTAACCCAAGTAGAACTGTACTTACAACCCAATGATAACCATGTTGCCAAAGCATTGCGTGCCTTAGGGCAAAGAGGAGGTTAATCAGGGGCGAGGTTCCGTTGAACTAGGGTATAGGGGCTTTGAGGCTGGGGGACTCTTGGGCTTTCAGTGCAAAAGCTTGGGGTTCAAGCTTTCAGGATACCAAGCCCACAAGGACAGCCCAACATCATCCCCACCGAACCCGACAATCCCCAAACGCGACCTAAACCCTGAACCCCCAGACCCTAAGTTCACATCCCTAAAACCCTGAAACTCTAAAATCCTAAAACCCTAAACCCTAAAACCCTAAAACCCTAAAACCCTAAAACCCTAAAACCCCAAAACCCTAAAACCCTAAAAACCCTAAAACCCTGAAACCCTAAAACCCTAAAACCCTAAACCCTAAACCCTAAAGCCCTAAAACCCTAAACCCTAAACCCTAAAACCCTAAACCCCGAAAAAAAGGGACCTCCGCGCGCAGCGCGTAGTTATGCGCACACTCCCGGACAGCCTTCCGACAGGAATCGCGGAGGCTTTGAGGGGCTTTCAGCGAGTTGAAGGCCTTCATACGGGCAGGTGTTGGGGGTTTTGGGGTATAGGGTTTAGGCTTTAGGGTTTAGGGTTTAGGGTTCAGGGTTCAGGGTTTAGGGTTTCTTAATGTTTGGGGGTCTAGGCTTGGGGTTCACAGATATGCACAATAGACCTTCAGTGAGTGCCTGTCCTTACCTCTCCAATAACCAAAGAATACAAAAGGTTAAACTTCATTAGTAATTCAATAGTCCTTCTAAATAAGGAAACCCAAAAAAGTTTACAGATCAACTATTGGCTAAGCAAAGTTTCTGACCGGCTGCACACGACATCCTTCTTGCTCGGGGCGGGTGCCTGGACCAATCTGGGAGAGAATACATGCCGCCACCATTCCTATACCCTAAACCCTAAACCCCAAACCCTACACCCTGAACCCGAAACCGCGGCACTCCTTGGGCAACTCACTGAGCCCATTCTTTGGAACAGCAAGGTTCATGGTACTTACAACCCAATTACAACAGGATTTTGGGTTTCGGGTTGAGGGTTTAGGGTTTAGGGTTTAGGGTTTACCTGAGAAAGCCAAGCTCTGAAAAGCCAAGCTTAGGTTTTGGGTTTGGGGCCCCGGGGTTAGGCTAAACCCTAAACCCTAAACCCTAAACCCTAAACCCTAAACCCCAAAACCCTGACCCAGGACACCCTAAACCCTAAACCCTTTGAGGACCAAACCCTGGAAAATAGTTGGGGTAGTCTTTGCGGGGGGTACCCTTAGCTATTTGGCCCCATACTACACTAGGAACCCTCAAGAACGGGTCTACCCGAACCTTGAAACCTAAACGCAAGCCTACAAACGTTATCAGACTCTCAGAGAACCACTTGCCCAGACACTCCAGTCTTTCTTCGGTAAGGAGGGTTCATATGCCACACTCGGATCCCTCTCTTACAACTTAAAGGAATATTCCCCTAAACCCTGAACCCTAAACCCTAAACCCTAAACCCTAAACCCCATGACTCCACTAAGGGATATGGGAGCATGTAGCAAAAAGCCGGCAGTTGCCTCTCGACTCGTAGTCAGCTGCCAGTTGGCCTTCGCGACAGCAGAGCCGCCCCCCCCCACAGCTCCGCGCCCCTCAAATCTTAGGGTTTAGGGTTTGGGG